ACCAGGCTGGCCTTAAACTCACAGAAGTCCATCTGCCTCTACCTCTCAAGTGCTGACATTAAAAGTGTGCGCCACCACACTCTTGTTTTTCATTAGCCTCTTTGAGAAATGTTCTAGAACTTTCCCTGAAGACCCTTCTGTTTGAAACACCCTCCTCTGCTGCCTGAGCCTACCCCTTCCTCTTAAACAGGTTGTGTCTTTTTGTCAAGAAATTCACCATATGACACAGTTTCCCAGTCCAAATCAGGATATTGTAGCAGGTCCCTTTAGGTGTTTAAATGCACTGAGAAGGCCAGAAAGGGTCAAGAAGAGAACAATCCAATCTGGAGTGGAGGCAGTCAACGTGCTTTTATGCAGTTAACCCTAACGAGAGCCAAAGCCTTCTTCCTTCCCAGCCACGGAAGACTCACAAGTAAAACAAACACGTGGTGAATCTTTGGTGGCCAAGCACAAATGTGGGACTCTCTAGATCAATTCCCATATGGTTGGGTGGGGCTCGGTGATGAAAATCTCTGCTTTCTACCTCCAGGGTTCCAGAGAATTCTCAAAACCTGGGGAAAGGTGGGACCGAAGCAGCCCATTTCTCCTGTGAACAATTGTGGCCCAGCGTCAGCTGCTTTGATGTCGTCTACCTCTCGCTTCCCCTACTTCCCTCCCTCCCTCCCCTCTTTCATTGACTGCCTGTGTTGGAGGGTGCAGTTCATAATGAGACCCTCTCAGCTTGGGTGGCGGGGAAAGCCTGACCACCCTTTGTGTATTATCAATGCAGGCTGGCTCACTGTCTAGGCCAACCATTTTGTATGTCCTGAAGTGGAGATCGAGGTCTGCATGAAGCCACCCACACTCACTGACCTGCTCTTTTATGTGACATGCATTTACCAAACAATCATCCAGGCTTCGAAGGTCAGTCCGTGGCTGGGGAATAGAGAGAAAGGCGTCTTTTCTCCCTTTTCTACCCGAGCCACATCTCCCCCTTGCTGCCCCCGCCCCCTTTCAAGGTCTAGCTCTCACCCGAATCCCTCACAAAGCCGTTCCTCCCTCCTCGAGCTGTTGCTGACCTCAGAGTCCTGGCCGTGCTGGCCTCTGCTCCAAGAAGTACAATTAGCACCTGACCAGCCCCTGGCCTGGCTGCTTGTCCTCGCCTCTGATTGTTTCAGTGTCTTAGTCATCCCTGCCTCCCCACCTCCTTCCCTCAGCTCCCCCACAGCTCATAGCACAGGTTGGGCACACAGTAGGTGTTAATAAATGTCTGCTGAATTGAAACTCCGCAGCCCCTATGAGGTCAGAACCCTCATAAGCACCCCGACCAGCAGTTTCTTGGCAACCAGCGCTGGGGCCCGAGCTACAGGGCATTAGCTGCACAGCCGCTATTACAGGACACACGAGGCTCAGCAGCCAGAGATTTGCAGGCAGGTTGGTGTTGATGAGAAAAGCCCCTGACCCCTAGGAAAGCGCCCGTGGGATTCTGGGTACCTTTCATGAGTTTCTTTTCTCCCCTGCAGAACTAGTTTTCAGTCTGAGAACCACAGAGGGAATAAATTGGCAGTGAAGCCAGAAACCTTTTTGCAGCTTAGAGAACCAGGAGTGATAACCAAGGCTAGGTTGGGGTCAGGCCCAGAACAGAGGAGGGAGGATTGCCCAAGGTTCTTCCTAATTCAGCAGGGGACCCTGGGATGTGAAGGAGTCATGGCAGGTGTGAGCCCTTCCATTCCAGAGGGCTTTAGGGGTGTTTGGGTGTGTGGGGGTAAGTAATGCCATTCTGTCCTGACACCCAGCAAGCCACAGTCCAAATGCCTGCCTCTTACAGCCTGTGCATGAGCCCATTTTCCCTCCCTTCTCCTTCACCAAAAGCTTAGGGCAGGCTTGAGGGACAGATAGCATCCAGGCCAGAACCATGGTCTCTAAGAAAGGAGAAGCCTTTAGCATGGAGTGCCTGAGCATGGAGTGCCTGGCTTCTCATCCTGGCCCGGGAATTTGAGTTTGGCTTTACTTTAATTTTGTAAATTGATTTGGTATATGGGTGTTTTGACTGCTGTATCTCCGTGCATCACATGTATACCTGGGCCTCAAGGAGGTCAGATGTCAGAGTCCCCAGGACTGGCGTTACAGATGATCGTGATCCACCATGTGGGTGAGGAAATCAAACCCGGGTCTACTGCAAAAACAGTCAGTGTTCTTAACTGTTGAGCCATCTCTCCAGCTGCTTGACTTTGGCTTTAAACTACATTGTTTATACAGACAACTTATCCAATCTCTCTGGACCGCTCCTACATGCTACCACCATTTCAGCCTACACACTACCCTGGAAGGCAAGTGGTTTCTTCATAGCCATTTTTTCTCCCCCGACACTTCACTGGAGCTGGCTCAGTACTAGGAGTAGCTCCCAGCAAATGTTTGCTGAGTTGAATCTTAGGCACTGTATTAGCCAATATTATAATGCCTGTGTCCGTGTGCTGTGGAACCCCGCACAGTGTTCTAATAAGCAGCCTATGTGTATGAATGTATCTATTCCCTTCCAACATTATACATTTCTCTTGCCACATAAGGAAATTAAGGCATACAACTGACTGGGGGCACATAACCAGTAAATGGCTCGCACTTGTGACTGGGGGCAGAACGAGAAAGTTGGGGAAGCCCAGGAGTAAAGGGTTCCCGGGGAAAACCATACTCTCAGCGAGTGTTTGACAGGGCCTTTCTGGGTCCAAAGCCCTAAATTTTTGCAGCACTGGAGGCATGTTGAATATGTTAGCAAGCAAGCCCAGGACAGGTTACAGGGCCCTCATTTTAAGGTCGCAATATATAGCAGAGGAGGCTGAAGCTATTGTGCAGTCACTTAGCACTATGTGAAGAAGGCTGGATTTGGAGCCCCCAGATTGGCCAGGGGTGGGCACTAGTTCCTGAGGAGCCAGCAAAACAGTCCAGAGGAGGGAGGAATGCCAGGCATAGTTGCAAACAAGCCACTCCTTCGGTTCACAGAGAGAGGCTGGCTGAGGATGGCAATGGTGGAACCCGCTTCCTCTATTTTTCTCTCTTTCTTTCACTATTTCATGTGTGCACATTCACACACACACACACACACACACACACACACACACACACACACACACCTCTCAAGGGATTATGGATTTTGAACCCAACACCAGAGACACCCATATGCAAGGTAGCCTCTTATGGCAGCTAGCTCCATGTTATTAGTTATTACTGATAATCTTAGCACACCTAGAAACAGCTCCGTGAGCCTAGCTTTTCTCTAGGGAAATCCTGGAACTGATTGACAGTCTTACTTGGCCTACAGGTTTCCTGGGTATTTTCGATGTCAAAGCACCCTGTCTCCCCAAAGGCGAGAGTGAGAGATGGGTTCCCTCCATCCTGGCATTCAGGCCAAGCAAGGGTCAGATCTCAGGAGCTGAATCCCTAATGGGTGTGCCCACCAGCTGTTGAAGCCAGCTGTGGTGGCTCAGGCCAGGGGTGGTGACCTCACTTCCGCTCTTACCTCCTCAGAACTCCTCCCATTTGAGGCCCCACCAGGCCAAAATCGAGAAGTCCAAGGTTAACTGTTACTCCCCACTTTAAGAGCTAATTAAAATGATTAGCTACAATGAACTGTCAAACATTAACTAGAAGAAGCTGCAGGACCAGACAGGCCTCTATCTCAGGCAGAGGGATGAGGGGAAGGAATCAAAGGGCCATCAAATCCCTGTGCTACTCGGCTGGGGTGTGGTGGTGGTTGGGGGTACCCAAGAGAACCCCGCTAGGCCGAGGTGCCAAGGGGTCAGGAGGTAACTCATCCTGATGTCTAAATGCCAGACCCAATCTGGACTCAAGGGCAGCAAAGTTTAGGGGTACCGCGGGGGGTGGGGGAGGAACAGGAATTCACAAAGTGGTTGCCAGCTCAGCAGTCTCTGAGCCGCCAAAGCCAGACTCTGGCATTGGGGGCCCTTTGCGTTGTGCGGTTGCTGAGTCCCTCAGAATATCAGGGGAGGAAGCCAAGAGGCGGGAGAACCTTGGAAAGCGGGAACGCGGGAGCGGGAAGCCTGGCGGCTGACTTACACGGAAACTCCAGCCCCTGCCAAGAGGTCTCTATTTTGGCAATTCAGGTCTCCAAGTCATAGGTTTACGTGCGAGCGTGTGTGCGCGTGTGCGTCCGCGCGCGCGCGCGAGTGTGACTCTATGTGTGTGCCTGTGTGTGTGTGCGCGCGCGCGTGTGTGAGTGTGTGCGTGTGTGTGCTTGTGTGAGTGTGTGTGCGTGCGTGTCTAAAGTGACTGGCTGTGTAAGCCCTAGGGGCCACCGGTTCAGCCCAGCCTGAGTCGATCGAGTGTGCTCAGCCTCCTGCTCTGCTGCCCTGGGGCACTGGGATGGGGGTGGGGGGGCAGTCCACATCGGCCCTTCCGTGGAGTCTAAGCTGGCCCGGGCCGAAGAGAAGTGCCTTCCCGCCCGGCTTCTGCCAATCACTTCTCCTTCTAGTGGCATCAGGAGCCCGGGCTGCTCAGGGTCCACACCGGGCCGAGCCAGAGGAAGGCAACACTCCAGGAGCTGAGGCTGACGCACCCTTCTCGGTCCGCCCCCCCACCCCCAATCCGACTCCCCGGCCTCGCCGCCCTTAATTCCCCACTCGGGCAAACTTTTCGAGGTCTCCCCGGGCGTTTCGAGAAGCGGCGCCATCGACGTACCTGAGGTCCTGTGGTTTGCCAGTCGCCTTCGGTCACAGGGCTCCTCGGAGCGATCGATCGCCAGTGGTCCCCTCCCCGTTCCCAGGGTTGAGACACAAGTTCCCACCCGCGCCGAGCCGCCTTCTCTCCCCCCCCCACCCCCGCCCCGAAAGCGGGGCTCGGGCAAGTGGTGCCCGGAGCTCGGCGCCGCGGAAAGGAGAAGTGGAAGTTGAGCGCGGAGCCCGGTCCGTCCTCGCGGCCGCCGGGGGCTGCCGTCGCCCGCCCTCCTTCCCTCCCTCCTTCTCTCCCCGGGGCCCGCCTGCCCCCACCGGCCCGCGCCCGTGACTCACCTCGGCGCCGGGGCAGGCTGGTCCGGGCGGGCGGGCGAGGCGCAGGGCTCTCCCACACGTCGCGCCGCCGCCAATGGCAAAGTTGGAGGGCGAGATGCAAACACCAGGTGAGACGGCGGCGCCCGGGCTAGAACGCAGACGGGGTGCCAGCTGTGCGATGGGAGTCCGGGGACGACGGGGAGGCCGGGCCGCGCCAAGGGAGCGGCAGCGGGGGGCGCCCGCGGAGGGGCCGCGAGTCAGTGGAGACCTGCGCCGAGGCGAGCGAGAGAAAGGGGAAATCGCACTGGAGACACACGTCCCCGCGGGCGGAGGCTGGGCCGGGCGCGAAGGAGGCAGGGCGAGGAGGGACTGAAGAGCCAGAGGGAGGGACCGACGGGAGGGACCACGGGCGAGCGGGCGGGGTGGAGCAGGGGGGTTGGGAGGGACTAGGCACGGCGGTGGAAACAGCGCCCCTCCACCCTAACCCCGCCACGGTCGCCAGCACGGCAGGGGAAGCACTGCCAGGGGCCCGCACGGGCTCTCCTTCCCCGAGAGGCTCGCTGCCCACCCTACCGCAGACAAGACACAGCCCCTCCCGAGCTCACGTCGCACGAGCGCTTTCTCCAGCCAGCACCCCCCCCCACTCTGCTCATAATTGGCGGGCCCCGGGGCCCTCAGCTCTGACTGGGCGCTTCTCGGCGGGAAGTCCCACACAATATCCCGTGGAGATATCCTGGGGATTCTGGAAGGCGGCATCCAGCCACTTGGCCTGTGCACTCCAATCACTTGATAGCTCCGCTGCCCCCCGCCCCCGCCCCAACCCTCCACCTTATCAAGCATCTGCTGTGTGCCAATCAGCCGGCCTAGCAGTGGGTGCTACCCAGAAGTGGGCAGAGGGTACATTTTGCAAACAATGTCAACTCCCACCCCCACCCCGTGGAGCTCAGGCCAGACATTTCTTGGAGTGGTGTGACTGGAGAGTTGCAGGGACTTCTAGGCAAGTCCAATCTTGGGCACTTGGGGGTCCGACACAGCAGGTGTACTGACAGGCAGAATTGGGGTTCGGGTTGAGAGCCCACGCCTCATAAGTCTTCAATATAAAGCCAAGTAATAACTGTACTTCGACCCGTTTTCTGTTTTGTTCCCCCTTGGCCCCTTTTCTGCCACTGTATCCACCTCAGTCCCCATCTGGTACTACAACCTGGGAAGGTGTCTAGTAGAAATTGTCACTTCTCAAAGCTCTCTGCAGACTGAATGAAGCAAGGGTGAGGTGAGGGAGAGCCGCTGGCGCGGGCGCAGGCGCGGGCGCGTGCTGAGAGGGGGGATATGGTGAGGGGGCGGCAAGACTTGACCTTGGCAGAAAAGCTGTTGAAGGCGCTCCAAGGGAGGAGGGCCCTCTGAGAGGTGGCCAAAGGGTCTTCAGTTCAGGACCTACTCACCCGCCTCCCAAAGCCTGTTTCATCAGCTTTGGGAAAGATGATCTGTAGGACTAGAGAACAGGAGTGGTGGCGGGTGACATCATCAAAGATGGTTGTGGATCACAGGCTAACAGTAAAAATAATAATAATAATAATAATAATAATAATAATAATAATAATAATAATAACGATAATAATCTAGTGGCTGCACGGAGGTTCTAGCTCCTGAAACCTCCTGGTTACCCATAGACAGACCAAATCCTCAGAACAAGGACCAAGAGCAAATTTTCACTTCTTTTTCCTTTACAAATGAACACATTGTCTTTAGGGGATTCTAGATCCTGGAAAAACACAGCTTTCTTTCTGCTGGACTCTTGCCGGTGAGGCTCTCTTTTCTAGTTTGGGGTAAGTCCTGGATAGCTTCAAAATGCACGAAGGCCTAAATGGGTACAAAAATTTAAAACAGTAAGCTCCTCGAAATGCTGCAGGCCTTTAATCCCAGAACTGGGGATGCAGAGGCAGGTGAGTATCTGTAAGACCTGCCTGGTTTACATAGTATAAATTCCAGGCCAGCCAGGTCTACACAGTGAGACTCTGTCTCAAAAACAAAACCAAACCACAAACCAAACCGGCTGGATAGATGGCTCCTTTGTTAGGAGCACTTGCCAGGGGCTGGGGGCTAGAGTATGGCTGGCAGTTAAGAGCACTGGCTGCTCTTCCAGAGGACCAGGGTTCAATTCCCAACACTTACATGGCAACTCACAACTATCTGTAACTCTAGTTCCAGCAGATGACACCTCCACACCAACACACATACAATAAATTTTATAAAATAAGCTGGCACACACCTTTAATCCCAGCACTCGGAAGGCTGAGGCAGGAGGATCTCTGTGAGTTCAAGGCCAGCCTAGTCTACAGAGTGAGTTCCAGGACTGGCTCCAAAGCTACAGAGAAACCCTGTCTTGAAAAACCAAGTGGGGGGAGAAAAAGCACTTACTACTTCCCAGGTTTGGTTCCACCACAATGGTGGCTTGCAAGAGTCCCAGTGGATCTGATTCTCTTATGACCTCTGAGGGCAACAGACTCACATTTGGTACACAGATGTACATGCAGACAAAACACTCCAATACATAAATAATGAAAGTAAAGAAATGAGCATGAATTGGGTGTGGTGCAGGCCTTCAGTTCTAACAGTTGGGAGGCAGAAACAGAAGGATACCTGAGTTCAAGGACAGCCTGATCTATACAGCAAGGTCCAGGCAAACCAGAACTACAGTGAGACCCTGCCTTTAAGGGGAGCAGGACTAGAGAGATTGCTGGAGGTTAAGAGCACTTGTTGCTCTTCCAGAGTATGTGGGTTCAATTCCTGACACCCTTGGTGGCTCAAAATCATCTGTAACTCCAGTTCCAAAGGATCTTATGCCTTCTTTTGACCTCTGAAAGTACCAGTCACCCAGGTGATACACAGAATACACCAAGGCAAAATATTCAACACATAAACATAAAACAAATCTCTAAAAACAGAATGGAGAATGATAAGAACCACCCCAACAAAGCTATGGTGACGACTGAGTGAGAAGGCAGTCTATGGCAGTTCCTGATTCCTAGTAAGCCCTCCAGAAATGTTAGCTATCTGCAACCTCCGTTTGCTTTCTCAAACCAGTTCTTGAAAGAAAATGTAGCAGGGACCAAGACAGAAGCTGCTGAGCACTTGCAGCAGATTCTCCTGAAAATATATGTAGTTTCAACCAAGGATGGAGTCTCAAGGCAGAGCATGCTGCAAGCTCGTCCTCTTAGAAAGGGCAAGGAAAGAAGTCAACACTGTGGACCACTCAAAGTATCTGGCTGTCTTGCCTGCTGGTGACCCGCAGACCACAGCTTGTGGGAATCCCGTAAGTTACCACCTTACCCAGCCACTCAGAACTAACCACAGCTCCACACCCTTCTAGCTGAAGTCCAAGCAACCCCCACCCCACCCCCAATTTGATGAAAATCTTAGGCTGATCTCACCTTGGGAAGCCACCTGAATGCCATTTGTGGCTGCCTGTCCCTCTAACCCTGTCGCTTGTCAGCCCACCAGCCCTAACCCTCGCACCTCCCCATGTTCCACGTACCCATTGGGTGAGCCCCCACCAAGTGGGGCCAGTCACACTGATTTCACCAGGCTCCAAGGGGACAGCCACCGTCTCTGGCAATGGCTCATTCCCTGACTTGGCAGGAATTCCCCTTCTCGTATTGCCTGTAGATGTCCAGGAAGAGCCATCTAGCAGCACCCTGTCAGTCTCTCTTTCCTCCCTGTTCCCTGACTGGCTTTCAGGCCTCAAAACCTGATTCCTTCCAGGAGCTGAAGGGCCCCACCTCCAGTCTGTGAGGAATCCCTTCTAGCCTTATCCTCTCAGTTTGCCCTCACCCTTGGCAATCTCCATTGCTTCTTCCCTCAAGCAGTGCCTCATAGCCCGTTTTCTTCAGCAAACCACTCCATGTTGTTCTTGCCCCTCCCTCACTTAAATCAACCAGAACAAAATACCACAATGCCAGAAAAGGTGTGCATCCATCAGCCGTTTGGAAGGAAAAGCAGATTCAGAATCAGGGAGAGAAGTCAGTTTCAGGGGACCCCCTCCGCCCACTCTAAAGCCATGAAGCCCCATTGGCCTTCCGTAAAGCCAGCCATCATTTTTCAGTTGCATTTAGTAACCACCCATTTGTAGTCATCGCTCTTTCAGAAAAGCTAGGTATCCAAATGACAGGCAAAAAAATGTTGATACCTCAGATTATGGCTAACCAGGACAGGCAGTGTGCATTCTATAGAGCTTGTTGGGGACTTGGCAAGATGGCTAAATGGGTAAAGGCACTTGCTGTTAAGCCTGAAGACCTGAGCTTGATCCCCAGGACACGAATGATGGAAAGGGAGAGAACTGAATCCCTAAAGATGTCCTGATTCCACATACCCTTATAGACTGTTCATACCTATACACCCTTACACATCCTCTCTCTCTGTCTCTCTTTCTCTCTCTCTCTCTCCCCTTTCCCTCTCACACACACATTTTAGGTTTTTATGCAATGCCATTTTTAAAAGAAAAGCTTAATGATTAACACCAAAATCAAGATCCTTGGAATAGATGATACAAAAAAAAAAAAAAAAATCAGTCTTCCATTCTTAAAATGGAGATTCCTAGCAAGTTGCAGCAACTTTACTGCTGTAATTCTAGCATTCAAGAGGCCAAGGTAGGAGAGTTGCTATAGATTCAGGGAGGGACAGTCTTGGCTACAGAGTGATTGGTACCTGTCATTAAAAACAAAAACAAAAAAAGCTCTTAGCATGCAAGCCTGACCAACTAGGTTCAATCCCTAGAACACAAAGAGTCTTTTGACTCTTTTAGGGGTAGTGCACATCTGTAATCCCATGTCCAGATAGGAGGAGGAGACAGGTAACTCAGTGACTCGGGGATTTTCAGTGGCAGAAAATCTAGACAGAGCCTTCCTCAAAATAGGTAGAAGGCAAAAACTGACTCCCAAAAGTTGCACTCTAATTTTCATGTTTGTGTGTCATAGCCACACACACTATTTTAAAAGACTAAAAGCTTTAAAACTATATGACATGCTTGTCTTCCTGACAGTCTCTGGGACACTGAAAACCCCTACAGAACTTTAGGGGAACACTGTGTCTCAATTCTTGGGAGCCTGGAGGCTGCTGATGGGGGTTGGCAGCCTGACAGCTGATGCTATGGGTCTTGAGCTGGTACCCAGCATGTCAACCCTAGAAGCAGTGGCTAATACCAAGTATTGTCCCTGGTACATCCAGGATCCTGGCTGCTATTTGAGAAACACCATGGCACCTCAGGAATGGTGGCAGGGAGGTTGGGGGAGTGGGAAGAGAAGAGACAAGCCTATGGTTCACTTGAAAGAAAAAGAAGTGGCC